TCCCCTAAATCCCTTCATCTCTAGCTAGAGTACACCTCAGCCAGACATGCCTGCGAGTGAGTGAGAAGGCACAGTGAGTGCCACCTGGTGCCTGTGTGCACTTTCCTGGGTCTGCCAGCAGGTACTTCAGCCAGGGCCCCGGGAGAAAGGTTGGGGAACAGCCTGTATGCATCTGGGGCTGCCCCAACTAATTTAAGACCAGAAAAATCATTTAAAAAACACATCTTTCAGTGTTGCCAGCGCTAAAGGGACACCTGACTCCCTGGGGCGCCACTGGACGAATGGAAGCCACTGCGGTTCCTTGGCTTCTCTGGGCTAACACAGATGCCATTTGCCATCTGCACATCTCTCACCTATACCTGCTTATGGAAAATAAGAGACAGAAGGCTTGGGAGCACTGACGGTCCTGTTCTGTCTTGTCAAGCATGTGGCTCTTGATCTGGGGTACATGTACTCCAGTGGCGACCTGGAAAGTGACACAAATTCTCCCAAAAGCAAATGAAAGGCATCAAATGGGAATAGAAGTTATGTGCTGGAGAAGGGAAGAGGGTTCGTTGTGTCTGAAAGGGAATAGGTAAGACAGGAAAGGTTTCTCAGCATCTGTATGGTTTAAGGTTTTGTTCTAAGTTATTTTAGTTGACAGGGACAATGGCTCAGTGAGTAAAGTGCCCGCCATGCAAGGACTTGTGTTTGGATCCCCAACACCCACATAAAAGCCAAGCCATGGAGGCAGGGATAACTCAGCACTGGGGGTGTGGGTGTGGGTAGAGGGATAAACACAATAGACTGAAGGGATCACTAGCCAACCTGCCTAGCTGAATTGGTAAATCCAGGTTCAGCAAGAGATCCTGTCTCAAAGCATAAAGGTGAAGAGTGACCAAGAAAGACACCCAACATTGACATTTGGCCTTTATATGCACATATACGCGTGTACTTAAACACACACACATTCTTCCACAAACATCACATACACACACACACACACACACACACACACACACACACACACACACGGGGGGGGGGGGAAAGAGGGGAAATCAGAAATTATACCATCCTGACTTAGTGGAGGGCACATATATATGGAAGACCCCAGAGATGCTCACTCAAACAGCAATGGTATACTGCTTCTAACTAGAGGAATTATAGGTGGGTTTTTATGAGCTTTGTTTTCTATTTTTAGAAATGAATATGCATTACTTTTTATTCTGAAGAAAATGGAGACCCATATCACCATCCAAAGACCCCCCCTCATTGTTTCTAACTGAGCTTTGGTCTGCTTGTTTCACTAAAAGCAAACCCTTCGTGAATCACTAGGCAAATATTAATGAGCTGCTAAGTGAAAGGAGTCAGAGCATCCCACCAAAGCAGCCTCCCTCCAGACACTGCAGAACTCATTTGTGATGTGCCTTCGGGTCAGTTACTTTAAAATCAGACTTAAAAGCTGACTTTACTGCTAAGAAAAGGAAATGAGCTCTCGACTCTTTGAATATTCACCTTTCTTCAACTTCTTTCCTCTCTGGACACAGCAAGAGGGTCTGCAGGATTTGCACTAAAGTCATAACAAGTAGCTGTCTGAGTTGGGTTCTGGGCGACTCACTGTGAATCAGCCACCCAAACCTTCCAACAGAGGCAAGTGTTCTGGAGCCTGGAGACAGCTTCCTCGTAGGAAAAAAAACTTCAAAGTCCCAGGAGAAGTTTTCACCCACAAAAGCCATTTCCTACCCTAACTTCAAACACAAGAGAAGCCATTCTGGAAATGTGACTCAGAGAAAGATCAGGAGAGGACAGTGGCCTCCACCAGAGAGACAGAAATGGACGGCAGGAACTGAAGGCCACCTGGTGGGAAAACCTGCTAACAACCCTCCCCTGGGCTGGCCTCTCCACCTTCTGTGCTTTTCCCTGCACCCTGTCCACCTCTGCCCAAGGCTAACAGACCCTTTAGTCTGTCTTAGGTGCCCTCACTGCCATGTCCTGCTTCCCAATCCTTAAAAATGACAGGACAATGAGTTTGGCCTCCAAGTCAGTAAGAAGAACATAATGGTGCAAGCTTTAATCCCAGCACTTGGGAGGCAGAGGCAGGCAGATCTCTGTGAGTTTAAGGCCAGCCTGGGCTACAGAGTGAGTTCCAGAACAAACAGCTACATAGTAAGGCCCTGTCTAGGGATTTAAAAAAAAAAAAAAAAAAAAAAAAAAAAAACCCATCGAACAGAGAATCTAGTGGCAGAACCCATCTGAGAGGTGCTAAATGTGAACTGCAGAGACATGCATCGAAGAGAGGGTGTGAGGACGGTTTGCTGGCACCACAGGAACATGTACCCAACTCTAACAATGAAGAAGACAATGGGTAAAAACAACAACAAAATGGAGAACCTAGGGGGAACAGAATCCTTTTGTCCCGTGATCATTTGCCACGTTCACGTTCACGTTGAGGGAGCTGTGCCTTTTGAATTCCACTGCTTAAATAATATCCCAACATGCTCTAGGCGAGCTGGTCCTGGAACCAAAGAGAAAGGTCTTGGAAGCAGATGCTTCCTGGAGAACTTGTCTTTCACGCCTACCTTTTCAGCTGTCCCTAATTCCTAAACAAACATGATTTTGCTTTAACCTGGGCATCCCGCATCCTCCAAATCTAGGCCATATTGGAAGAAAGCCTGGGGACAGGTCAGTGACTGGGGATACTGTGGTGATGCCATTGGCTCAGTTATGTCCTATAAGGGTGGAGGAGGCACCCCACCACACCGGAACTGAAAGTCAGCCATCTCAACAGCAGTCCCCAGGTTAACACCACAGGCTCATACAGGAATAGGAGCCAGGGGATGGAGAACACAAAGGGAGGCTGTAGAACTCAATGTGTCCAGGCTAATTTTAAAAGAAAAGTAAAAAAAAGAGTTAAGACCTGCCATAGCTGGTTTTATTTATTTACACTCTGAACAAACAGTGCTGAATAAAAATGGACAGTATCTTTCCTGAGCCTGAGCAAAGGCAGTGTTCCCATGGATCCTCCTCCTAAATCCTTAGTAAATTTACACTGGTCTGCATATAAACATACAGGGTTTTAAACACGTTGGTGCTATGACTTTGAAAGGGGAGAGCCCCCCACAGACTCATTTATTTAAACAGTTGGTTCCCAGGTAGTGGCAGGCTGTGGAACCATTTGGACATGAGGTCTAGATGCAGACTTAGGGCCACAGGGGTGGTTTGAGTCCACATCTTGCTTCCTGACTGCAGACATCAGCCACCTCACACAACTTAACAGCCTCAAGCTGTTCCTACCCCCAGACCTTCCTTACCAAGATGGACTGCGCCCTCTCAAACTGTGAGGCTAACTAAAACCTCTCCTCCTTAAGTTGCTTCCAGTCAGACATTTGGTGACAACAAGAAAATTAGACAATACTTTTGGTTTTTTGTTTTTGTTGTGTGTTTTTTTTGTTTGTTTGTGTTTTTTTTTTTTTTTTTTTTTTTTTTTTTAATTGTCCTGGAACTCACTCTGCAGACCAGACTGGTCTCGGGATTAAAGGCACTTGCCACCACCACCTGGCATAAATTTGGTTTTCAAACGCTCTTTACAAATGAGGTGACTGAGGAACTGGGTCTGGTGGTTACAGTGAATCTGAAAATAATTGTAACTGTCACTGGCTCGTCTAAATTAGTGAGTTATCCAAATGAGATACCAGAGAAACATTGGAAATTCAAGGTAAAATGCTGGACAATTTTCAATACACAGTTACTGTGCACATTATGATTAAATATTTAACTGCAAATATCATGTAATAAGAACACCAAATCCTAGTATGGCACCTGGTATGTGGTGCTTACTGGGTAGTTTCAAACACAATTATGATATGTTGTACATACATCCTTCAATATGACCATCTCTAGACAGAGAGCCATAATGTCATAGTCCTGCCTACAAGACACTGCACTGGAGACCACCCCAAACATCCAAGGACCACATGGAAGGTCCAGGTGGATACTAGCCTCTGAAAATCAACAGATGAGACTGCACAGGGTAAGAACTCAACTCTTAGATGCCTGTTGTCCTCAGATGTCTGAGACAATCATGCACTCAGTCACCAACTCCCCAGAAGAGGGAGGGGCTTCTACCATGTCTATCAAGTGTTACAAACCTGCTAGGCATGTACTGAGGACAGTTTAATGGAGCTGCCTCTCTGCACAGCCATAGCCCAGCCTTGAGACATGGTGGGAAGGATGGAGCTAAGCTGTGAGACACACAAAGGGAAAGAGGGACTTGGTCAGATTAAAAGGGGGGCATAGAGTGCTTCTGCCTCTGGCTTGGTTGAGCCCCAAGGAAGACCCAGTTAATCTAAAGACATCAGGGGTAAATTTAATACTGCACCTTTGGAGACAGGTGTGGGTCCTGATCGATCACAGCTTCCCTTCATCCCACAGCCATGGTTTCCTTTCTCAGAGGCATGTCAGGATCACTGGGGCACTCCCTTCAAGTGTGTTCTTTTGGTTAGTACTCTAGACACTTTTTGATGTCCCGAGGATAAAGAGGACCCCACAACAAGGCCTTTGTGGTTCTCAGTGACTTTGGATAAGGATGGCTTCTCTGTCTTCAGAGTGGCAAGATTTAAAATACTCCCTTAGGGTTTCATATCTGCCTAAAAATGTCTACTGTTTTCTGAAAAGTCCTTATCATGGGTGATGATGACACCATGCTGTGAAGGACAGGGTGTTTCTAAGCAACAAAGATATGATTCTTTCACCCACCATTCACTACCTAAACACTAGCTGACTACCAAGACTGCTTCTAACACCAATGAGGCCATTTTCCATCTGTGCCTTACAGGTATACTATGAGATTCCTTCCTTGCTGGCTGGCTTGTTTTGCAGTGCTGAGACTAGAACCCAGGATATCATACATGACAAGCAAGCCCACTCCTGATAACCAATATCCTTTGGCTGGAAAGGTTCTTTGAACATCACACAAGGCCAAATAGAACAGCAGATGGGGACAGGCAGGGCAATGAACTCACTCTTTGGTCAGAAGAGGACAGGATTTGAGCAGGAAGTGTGAGAGGCTGGTGTCCTGGAAGTAGAGGTCGGGAGGGGCAGTGGGGCTCTTCAGGTTCAAACACCTCACGATGACATAAAGAACAGCAGCTACGGCAGCCAGCTTCACCCCATCAAACACAGCGGGGAGCTCAGGGGTCTCTAGCATGGCATTCATCTTGATCTAGGGAGCAAAGGCAGAGATGTGAGCTCACAAACATGGCCAGGGCAAGGAGGGTGGAGCCCACCTCACTGCAGATGGCCCACTCTGGATGTGCTTCACACATGCCCACAGGGTGGTTCACAGACACCCCCCCCTTTCATCATCACCTGACAACACCAATGTTCAGCCAATACCCCCAATCTCTCTCTCTCTCTCTCTCTCTCTCTCTCTCTCTCTCTCTCTCACACACACACACACACACACACACACACACACACACACACAAAGCTGCGTGCTGACTAAGAAGGGTACTGTGTTCTTTCTGTAATCTTATGAGCAGTTTCAAGATGAACAAATTGGAAAAGGTACAGTAAGAGTCTTTCTGAGACCGGGAACAGCAAGGTGAGTTAGGAAAGGTTACGGGAAGTGCTTTGCTGTCTGTGAGGAATCCACTTAAATCTCTGGAAACTTAATGGCACCAGGTGTGTCAAGTGTTGTTTTCTGGCTTGAACAGCAGCATGGTGGTGGGTGCCACCATGTAAGGCTGTGCTGTGTGCTGGTCCCATTTCTCTGTGTTCAGAGAGGGGTAAGAGAAAGTGGCCTTGGCCTATCTGCTCCACGGTGTCCGTGGCTGCAGAATTCTATTCAGACTTGGCCTAGGTCAGGTGGTCCTGGCTCCTGAGGCTTTCAGGCAATGGGAAATCGAGCTAGTCAATTAAGACACTTTTCCCCTCCAGGAGGTACCTGAATGCAGCTACTAGTTCAAAACTGGGCCAAATTCAACCACTAGACCAAAATTTAAGATTGTAATACAGAAAATACACATGAATATCTAATTTTCCACCAAGTGTCTTAATGTTTCACCTTTTGAGATAAGCATTCCCGTGTATACAAAGCATACACACATACTGCAAACACATAAGACCAGACATTAACAACAAAATCTAGTCTTTTCCTCGATGCTGTGGCCTTAAGGATTAGGGTCACTAACAAGGCATGGTGATGCAAACCTGTAATCCTACAAATTGGGGGGTAGCAGCACAAGGATCAGAAGTTCAAGGCCAGCCTAAGCCCTGTCTCACAATGAAATGGAGAGTCTGGGGAAGGCTAGCATGAAACTAACAAAAAAAAAAAATGTAATTCTTATAGCCATGGTAACTATGGTAACTGCTTTCCCTGAACCTATTTCAAGTAGCCGCTGCTAAAAAACAGTTATGAGAATGGTAGCCAATGATGGAGACAAAGGGTAGGGTGAAAAATATCTCCAAAATGTGTATAACACACTGAAGACTCCTCTAAAACCAAAGTGACACAAATCTGTGGCAAGGTCTTCCGTTTGGTGTGGAACGGATCAAAGGTCACAGCCTCTTAAGTGGCCTTCTGTCATCAAGACAGAAAAGAAAAAAGTTCTAAAATATCCCAGGAGGGCTGTCAAGATGAAGATGGTTCATTGGGTAAAGGAGCTCTCAGCTAAGACAGATGACCATAATTTGGTCCCCAGAACCCGCATGATGGAAGGAGAAAAATGACTTCTACACCCATGCTATGGCATGAGCCCATCCACATCCACACATCAAGTAAACGCTTTAGAAAAAAGTTTTAAAAGTTAGGGTTGTCCTCGCCACACAGCCATATTCAAGGCCAGCTTGGGATGAGACCCTGTCTCATCAATAATAAATAATATTAACTAATTGATTAAAAAGAAAACATGCCTGATACAATTTTGTTTTTGTTTTCCAAATACAGTTTCTCTGTGTAGCCCTGGAACTTGCTCTATAGACCAGGCTGGCCTCATAACTCAGAGTGCTGGAATTAACGGCATGTGTGACCGTGTCCAGCCCTGAAACCTAGTCTTACAACAAAAGCAGAAAGAAAAAAATCTACCAGAAATTCCAAATTCCAAATTTCTCTGATAAGTGCTGGCGAAACAGAAATCAAGTCTAAGTAAAGTACTTCTGTGTCTTCCTCTCTGGTGTGAGAACAGAGGCTGGCCACAGCAGCTTTCCCACGGTCCTTGCTGGTCAAGTCTAGTAACTCATCGATTACTTACTATAATGCATGGGGAGGTGAAGAGAAACAGAGATGTGTCTTAGCAGCAGGACATACCTATGTCGTCACTCCACTCACGGAGAATGTGGATTTTCCTCGAAGAGTTGAACAGTTGGGCCAATCAGATCTGATCTTGTATTCAAATTAACCTAAAAGTGAAGCAAATGGGATGTAGGTAAGGTTTTAAAAAAGGAGAAAGCATTCTTCCATTGTGTTTTGTTTGGAGACAGGGTCTCCGATACCCCACACTGACTGGCTTTGAAATAGTGGCACCCTCTCTTGCCTGTACTTCCCAAATGCTGGTTTTATGGGCATATGCCACCATGCCTGGCCAATAATCCATTTTAATTTAAACATAAACAGTCTATTTTTCCTTTCTCTGCACTTAAAGTCTTTAGGGAAAAGGGAAATTTCTGTAATTAAAATGTCCGCCATGGTCTTGGACGTTCTCACAAACTGGCTGTGGGGGCAGGGGTTGTGAACCCACCAAGACTTGGGGCTCTCACTGGCTCTGGAGACATGTTTCTTCTGTGTTTCTTCCGACTACAGCAAAAGCTACGTTACTCTTTATCCCACAACACGATCCTGAACAGTGCAGACAGGACAGGTGTCATCGCTGTGACATATGACATAAATGAGATAGCTTTAGAGCGAGACAGCAAGTGAGTCATGCCCTTCCTCCCAGACATACAGCAATGACCGGGACAATGGGAGGCAAGGGGAGTAAAAGGCGAAAACAGAGGGCTCCAAAAAAAAAAAGAAAAAAGAAACTGAGGCCTACAAAGATTAAGTCACAAGGCTGGTAGGCAGAAAGGAAAATGCTCATTTCTAACTCCAGAGACCTTGACACAGAGCCGTTTGAAAGCCGTTGAGACAAGTAAGCAAGGAAACGAACGGTATGGAGAACAAACACAGAAGGCACTAGAGGCTGGCCCCAAATCACAGGTACACAGGCAGAGTGGGCATCCAAGCTCCAGTTCTTTCTGACTCACCACACTGAAATTACTGTGGAAGAAAATGGAAGGCGGTGAAGGAGAGGCTCACAGCCTTCACAGCAACCTTGTTCTACTTCACATCTGTATGAGCTCTTCACACTCCAAGACAAATTAGCCGCAGGGGCCAGGGTGTGGTGAAGTAGGAACTGCAGAGCAGTGTCCCCAGCTACATCACAGGCCACCTGGGCCCACAAGGCCCACAGGCTCAGCTGCAGGATAAAAACAAGACACAGCCCTGACTCAAGATCGAAGCTGCTGGCCCATGGCCTGGTATTATCTTTGCCGGCTCATGGCGGTGGTTGTATCTCACTCGGTAGCTCAGGCTGGCCTTCAACTCTTGACAGTCGTCCTGCTTCAGCCCTTTATGTACTGGGATTATAGATAGATATCTGTCACCATGCCTGGCTTTACCTGACATTTAGGGGGATTTTTTTTTGTTTGTTTGTTATAAACAAAATATCAAATTGCAAGCAAAAATATATAGTTCTGGTTTTTCTTAAACCAAAACCAAAACCAACCAACCAAACAAACAGAAAAAACAAAAAAACAAACCAGAAGATTTGGTAAAACAGAGCCTGCCATGGCAACAATGAATGAGGCTGTTCTTCTAGACACAACACATTCTGTGACATAGCCTGTGAAGTCTTTGATGCTGACCCCACCACCCCCAGCCCAATTTAATTATTTCTGATACCTGAATCATCCCTATAATTATCTTCCAGAGTGTGCAATCCCTCGAAAAACCCATCTAAAGTCTCTTGTAGCCTTGGGTAAGTCTGTACTGGCTGAATATTTAAAAATATCAAGTATATGCACAAATGATAAAATCATAGCCAAGTTTTGAAAGGCAAAATGTCAAAGCTTATAGGATGTGTTGTGATTTACTTTACTATATTCATCAATTAAAGTCTATTTCTTCTCATAAACTATTTGAGGTAACTTTGACAAAGTATTTTTTCCCTGGGAATGTGTCTTGCTGAGTAAACTGACATGTTCCTGTCTCCCTTGCAGCTAGGTGAGTTCATTTGACTAAATCTTGGCCAATTCTAAATAGTCTGGTTTCAGCCCTCCTCCCTCTTCTCTTTGTGCCTCTCTGAAATGCAGACAATATGGCTGCAACTCCAACAGGCATCTTGGGCCATGAAAAAAACTTGGAGTAACTCTATAAGCCTATTAAAATCAACATACTGTTATTTAGTGGAGCCACCATATCAGACCTAGATCATCTGTCTTGGGATTCCTTTTATATGAAAGAATAGTTTACACCTCTGTTATTTCTAGATGTTTTCACGATACAATTTCCAATGACACATAAGGAAATGCTATATACCTAGATCTCTGTGATGCTAGAAGCATCAATTGCCAGATGTAAGGTGCTTCTGCTGCTATTTACAAGAGGGTTTTAATTTATTTCCAAAATTCACAGTGACTTTAACTATTTTTTTACTAGAGAAAATGCTTTGAGGGTTAGGAGTAGAACTTAGTAGTAGAACACTTCTAAAATGTGCAAGGCATGGAGTTCATTGCTTGGTAACACAAGGAAGGACAGAATTCATGAATGCATTCGTGCTAAAGGATGGAATTCATGAATGTATTCATGATAGCTGGCTTTAAGATAGCAACTAACAAAATATATGCAAAAAGTTAAAATCTAGTACAGTCAAAATAAACACAACAACTATGTATATAGTCTAACTAGATAAACTCTGGGTTTTCTGCCCACCAGAGGAGAGAGAGAAACCCAATCAGATCAGTGGGTCCCCAAGTGGAAAGAGCTAACAGAGCACTCTGAACTCTCAGGTGCATGCCATGCACTCAGTGGAAGGAGGACTTTTCTGGCTTCTTTTCTGGCTTATTTTAAAGATATGCAGGACTTTATAGAGAGGACTTTCATTGACAGTGTCCTCCTACAGCTTTTTTTTAATAGCAAATGCAGCAAAGAATTAATTTCCTCAACCCTTGAAAAAATGGCAAGGTTTTAAAATTCAACTCAGGGCAGACAATTCCATGGATAGTATACAATTATTATGGCCCAAATTTAAAACCTTGGCCCAAGGCTTGAGTCTAAGGGTCCTGGGCAGTAAGCCAGTTCTGCGTGCCCCTGGGGAGTGCAACCCTTAAATCCTAGCAGGCTTAAGTAGCCAACTACTGACTGGGTGCTTGGCATGGCACAGGACCACAATTAAGTACCGTCTGCATACAACCAGGGGGAAAAAAGCTAGGGTTTTCTAGGAACTTGGAGATGAGAATACTTGAACAGGGAAAGGCCTGGGACAGCTACATCCAGAAGTGGGCATCAGTGTATCAAGTCTAGGACTTTAGAAGTATGTGTATGTGTGTGCAATACCTACCTACCTACTTACCTGTCAATCTTGGTAGGTATTAAACTAGGAATCATCAGGAAATTCCAAAACAAAGCTCTTCACACCTATTTCGATTCATCTCATATTTTACTTTATGGTGGTTACTCTCTCCATTTTTCTTTATTACAAATCTGACCAGGCACTTAATATTAAATATTCTAAACTTTGTCTAGACATATCAAGCTTAGACTCTATAGCCATACTACCTGGAGTATTCTGGATTTCATCTGATCTTGGAAGCTAAGCAAGGTCTGGCCTGGTTCATTACTCAGATGGAAGACATCCCCCATTCAGTACTCCCCAGCTCCATTTTCTAGGTAGATGAAATCCAGTTGGAATGAACCCTAAGCAGTCTTAGATGGGGGGGGGGAGTCACAGGAGGGCTGGGGGGTGGGGGGTGGGGGCTGTGTGCCAGAAGGAAGGGGCCAGCCTTTCCCTACCTGTCTCCATCGAGTTGAGCTTCCCATGTACCTGTGTCAGTCTTTATTCTGTGGGTTACCCTACACTCCAGCCCTGCTATTTTAAGAGTAAATTTTGGTGCTGTAACTGATCGTTAGTAGTCCATTTGTCATCTACATATCATCCAAAAGAAAATGCAGGGTGCTGCCAAATGTCCAGCATCTGGTCATTAAAGGAGCTCTCAGCATTGCTGTGGGACTCTTAAGACTTGCTTGGCTGGTATTTCCACCCCTGCTGAAGGCCCAGGCTGTGCCTCCCCCGCTCCTCATTGCCTTCCTGTGGCCAAGAGTATCACTTAGGATAGAAGCCCCTGAGACCTGGGACCTAGAACCTGTTCTAGCTAGTCACCCTCAAACAGTCACTTAGCTTCTCAGGCCCTAAGGATTTCTGCTGTAAAATGAGAAGCTTGGATTCGGAGTAGAAAACTCTTTCAGTTTGAAATGTTGGAGATTCTGGGGATACAATTGTAGTCGTTGGCTAAAACACACAGGGGGAAGAAATCTCTCTCCTGCCTCAGACCACACACAATAAAATTCACAGACCTCAAGGCCTTTGTTCTCTCTTCAAATCAATTAAAGTTATATATTTTCAGCTGTGTCGTTTATGCCAGTAATTCCATTATATTACTACACTAAGTGTCTCAAAGAATCGGCTATCACCATCATCACCACTAAATTTTCCTCTTAATCTGACACACAGAAACCACACAAAAGAAGCCTGGCTTATATGCATCAGGGCAGCATCAAATGATGACACAGCTAGCAGATGCTCTGCTGGGACACCTCCAACAAAATTAAAATTAATCCCAGGGCATTCTCCTCCAGACTTCTCCACAGAGGAACCCTATTATATTAAACCCACCACTGGATAATAGATGGTGATCTTCAAAGGGTTCCAAGCAGCTGGGCATGGTGGTACACACTGGAGTACCAGGACTCAGGGGTGCGGAAGCAGGATGACTGTGGGCAAGCTCAGGCCAGCTTGGTCTGGAACACAGTGAGAAACTCTTTCTTAAAAAAAAAAAAGTTCCAAGCTATGTAGCTCCTGGTTTTATGGTAACAGCCTTCCAGTATTCCCACTGTGTCCTGCAGAGGGTCCTCCTGCAGAAGTCAAGCCCCTTATATTTACCTCCTCCCCTTGTAGGGAAGTCCATGCCTCTCCCCACCCTGACCCATAACTCTAGGCTAGCACACAGAAGGCCTCTGGCAACTGAAGGTGTTAGGGAGTTAAGAAACAACACCCTGCCTCAAAAATACGGCCTATGTCTACTCCATGTCATACTGGTCTGGCAAAAATAAATAAATAAATAAATAAATAAATAAATAAATAAAT